TTTCTCTGCAGATGAGCGTGGTCTGCTGTTCTCTGCTTTCATAGCCCTGCCCGTGAATTTTTCCTCCATGACCTTTGCCTGAGTTTGTAATTATATACGTATTAGTTTGACTATGTGATTAATATCTCTTTCCCCTCCAGAGCCACGAAAGCCGAGACCATGTGTGGCTTTGATCCCTGGGTCTCCCTGGTGTCCATATTGGACCCAGAGCAGGGGTTTGGCAAATATTTGTTGAGGGAATGCTGGTTACTTTTGGAATGTAGTAGGAAGAAACCCCAAGGACAACAGTCAAGTTGGTTATTATAATAGTGAAAGAAACCCCAGTGAGCTCAATTTATTTGTTTGTTCCATTGGTTCAAAGGGAAAACGTCTGTTGGAAGGTTTTTATCAAGATAGAATTTTTCTTACACATTTTCTGTTAGCCTACCTGAATTTTTCACATTGCATACTAGGGAGCAGAATGTTCTAGAATTTAGGCAGAAGGGTAGTTCAAAGAGCTGTTTATTTGTAGAATGTTTAGATTCTTAGCAGTTTGAATTGAGGGGAATGCCAGCTTGAAATAAGGAACGGTTATGAAATTAAATATTTCATAAAAACACTGAAATAACGTTTATTTCAGATAGATATATATCTTTTTTGAACTAGTCTAATAGAGATTTGTTAATAGTGGTGGCTAAGTTACCTGCCTCAATAAATAGCTTAAAAATTACAGCGCATGTTATCACACCCATTACTTGTGTGCTTATGAAAAACTAAAGAATATTTGAAAATAGTTGTACTCATCCTCTGTTAACATGGTCACCCTATTATATTGTTTATATTGCTTATTTTATTAATATTAAAAACATCCTGACCTACCTCCTGACCAAATGACCAAAGATAATGAGGGTAATTGTATATCCTTCGTCCACTGACACTTGTGTCTGGCCTCTGATGGCTTCCTGTGGCTCCTGGAGCTAGCGGTGTCTTCCTTCTCCCTTGTCTGCTGTGGGCCGGGTTCTGTGCTTATGTGCAGCGTCTCTGTAGCCCTCACCGCAGCGTTAGGAGATGGATCTTATCACCCCCGTTTTACAGGTGGGGAAATAAGGCTCTGGAAGATTCCATGACATGCCCAAGGATCCTAAGCATGAGAAGCAGGACTGAGCCCAGATCGCTTAGAATTCCAAAGCTCTTTCTAGTACATAGAGGAGCATTTTCTATTAAAAGTATGCGGTATTGAGAAAGAGAGAATGTGTCCATATTTTCCCAAGCAAAATATGGTGTGAAAATATTTTCAGGCATTTCTATCAGCAGTTATAAGAAAATATTTTGAAAGCCCTTGGGTATCCAAGCAGCCCTTGATAAAAGCATTTGCATAAGCTACAGTGATTATGAAGTTTGGTTTGGTGCCACAAACACTTAAGGAAAACAGACTCATTTCTGTCCAAAATATTTCTCAGCTTAATTATATATTTCTAAGTCACAGGCCCTGCCTTCCCTGGGGGTTGTGCGATTGGGGAAGGCAGTTGGGGCCCTGGCCTGGGCTTCGGGGAGCCCATCGTGGAACCCCAGCTGTTGTGCAGGTGCGTCTCTGTGGCGTGCCCCTGACTCTGTCTCATCTTCTTCTCTAGGAAAATAAGCCGGAGCAGTGCTTGGCTGGAAAGAG